AGTGAGGAGTAGATGCACAAGGAAAAAAACAGGGAAATGTCATGGTAAAGGTCTACTATTATCTAACCAGAGGGAGGAGACTACCTTGCAGCTGAAAGGAGAACAGCTGAATGTGTGGTATGTGGTGCTGCAGATGTGTCTACAGCACCACATACCACACAGCTGCACTTGTCTGGACCCAGCCCAAGAGGCCACCCCCCAACTCCAAAGTAGGACCATCCCCAACTAAATCATCCCACCCAAGGCTTTGTCTAGTTGGGTCTTAAAAACCTCCAAGGATGGAGAATCCACCACTTCTCCAGGCAACCCGTTCCAGTGTTTTACTCCCCACCTGGTGAGAGTTTTTACTAATATTGAACCTCAACTTCTCTTGCTGCAACTTGAGACCCTTGTGCTGTCATCTGCCACCACTTAGAACAGTCTAACTCCATCTTCTTTGCAACCACCCTTCAGCTAGTTGAAAGCTGCTATCAAATTCCTTCTCAGTTTTCTCTTCTGCAGACTAAAAAAGCCCACTTCCCTCAATCTTTCCTCACAGGTCATGTGCCCCACCCCCCTCACCATTTTTTTTGCCCTCTGCTAGACTCTCTCCAATTTGTCCACATCCTTTCTGTAGCGATGGGGCCCAAAACTACTCCAGATGTGGCCTCACCAGTGCCATAGAGGGGAATAATCACTTCCCTGAATCTGCTGGCAGCACTTCTACTGATGTAGCCCAGTATGCTGTTAGGCTTCTTGGCTAAAAGGGCACACTGTTGCCCTTCATATTCAGCTTACTGTCCACTGTAAGCCTCAGGTCCTTTTCTGCAGAGCTGCTGCTTAGCCAGTTGGTCCCTAGTCTCTATCGGTGCATGGGACTTTTCTGTCCTGGGTGCAGAACTTGTACTTGTCCTTATTAAATTTCCTGAGATTTCTTTTGGTCCAATTATCCAATTTTTTGAGGTCTCTCTGAATCCAAGCCCTACTCTGTAGCTTGGTGTCATCTGCAAATTTGCTGAGCATGCACTTGATCCCATCTTCTAGGTCATTGATGAAGATATTGAACAAAACTGGCCCCTGGACTGACACCTGGGGCAATCCACTTGATATTTGCTGCCAACCTGACATCAAGTCATTGACTACTGTCCTCTGAGCCTGACAATCCAGCCAGTTTTTGTCTACCTTACATCCCATTCATCCTACCTGTACTTCCTGAGCTTGCTTGCAAGAATATTGTGGGAGGCTGTATCAGAAGACTTGCTAAGTTCAAGGTATATCACATCTACTGCTCTCCCTGCATCCACACAGTCAGTCACCTTATCATAACAGGCAATCAGGATGGTCAGGCATGACTTGCCCTTGTGAATCCATCCTGACTGTTCCTAATCAGCTTCTCCAAGTGCTTAGAAATGGATTCCTTGAGGACCTCTTCATGATTTTTCTGGAATTGAGGTCAGGCAGACTGCTCTGTAGTTCCCTGGATCCTCCTTCCCTTTTTTAAAAATGGGCACTATATGTGTATTTTTTCAGTCATCTGGGACCTCTCACAATCTCCACAAGCTAGTAGTCAGTGGCTCTGAAAAGATATTGGTCAGTGGCTCTGCAATCACATAATATTCTGCTATACTTTCTAGTCTTCCTGTGCAGTGGCATGGTTTGTTCTTGTGCCCTCAGTAAGGTTTCTTTAAAATACAGCCAGTTCTCCTGGACGCCCTTCTCCTTCAGACTGGTCTCCCAGTCTGCCCATCAGTTCCCTGAGTGAATCAAAGTCTGCTTTTCTGAAGCCAAGGGTCCTTACTCTGCTGCTCTCCATCTTTCCTTTTCTCAGGATCCTGAACTCAATCATCTCATGGCCACTGCTGCCCAAATTGCCACCCACTGCTATATCACTGTCCCCTGAATTGGGCAGAATCTGAATTGACTATGGCCTGCTTTGCACACCCCTACTGCCTTGTCCCTCCTGAACAGTTTATCCCTATCCATGACAATACTCCAGACAGGGAAGTCTTTGTTATTCCAACAATATCACGGATTCTTGATTATGCAAGGATTTCCAATTCTTCCTGCTTGTTTTGCAGGCTCCTTGTATTCATGTACAGCAGGGGCAAACAATTATTTCAGGTGGAGGGCTGCTTGATGAGTTTTGGCAAGCTGTTGAGGGCCACAAGGGTAGCCCCGCCCCTTCAGTTGCCCCACCCCCTTGTCACCATCTTGGGACTGGAAGTCCTGCCCCCACAACTTTGCCACTGGAAGCCCCGCCCCGAACTCTGACCTCTGCCACCAGCAGTCCCTCCCCTTGCACAACTTACCAGGTAGCAAGGGGTTGTGACCCCTCTAACATCCTGCCCCAGCAGTGGGGCTTCAGGGGCATCAGACCTCCCCCAGAACTTTCCCCCTACCTATGTCAGCTGGTCCCAAAAGGAGGAGACTCTGCTGCCGCTTCTGCAGGCCAGTGCCGACCCAGTTGGGCTTGCCCCGTCTCTAGCAGCACCTGGTAAGCTGGCTTCAGCCACGTGCTGCTCCGAATGGGACGGACTGCACTGGCCAGGAAAAGCGGCATGCAGCTGAAGTTGGCTTCTCATGTGCTGCTGAGGATGGGAGGAGCCCGGCCAGGTCTGCACTGGCCAGCTGAAGCAGCAGTGGAGCTGTGTGCCACTCAGGATGGGACAAGCCCGGCTGGAGTGGCAGGGCTCAGCTGCACTTTCCTGTGCCAGTCAGTCCTGAGCAGCACACGGCTCCACCATCACTTCTGCTGGCTGGCGCTGACCTGGCCGGGCTCCTCCCATTCCCAGCAGGATGTGGGAAGCTGGCTTCAGCTGCGTGCTGCTCCAGATGGGACAGGCCTGGCTGGGTCTGCACCGGCCAGCAGAAGTGGTGGCAGAGCCATGTGCTGCTCAGGACTGACCGGCGCAGGCAGGGGGAAAATGCAGCTGAGCCCCTGCTGTTCCGGCTGGGCTCATCCTGCCCTGAGCGGCACACGGCTCTGCCACCATCTCTCCTCCCTGGTGCTGACTGGGCCGGAGCTGTGGCCCGGCTGCTGCTTCCCCGCCCCAGTGCCAGCCCAGCCTGACCCTGCATGGCCCGAGCGACATGGCATGGCGTGGGAAAAGCCTGCCCAGCAGCTGCTTTCCTGGGCTTACCCTCAGGGCAGGGCCCTGTCCAGTCCCGCACAGGAGCAGAAGGTGGCCCAGACACTGTTTCCCTTCACTGGCGCCACAGGTTCTGGCCCAGCCCTCCTGCCCCTCTCAAGCTGCAAACATAGCCTGAGCTGGGGCGGGGCGAGGCTCGCTGGGTCAGGCGGAGGTCAGGGTTAGTTGCCTCACAACCAGAACCCAAGGAAACAGCTTGAGGTGCTGTAGCTGGTGGTTGGTGCCACTGGAGGCTTTTAGAGAGGCAGTCACTATTATGTGGATTTTGAAGGGGCTCTGCAGGCCGGATCCAGCCCGCGGGCCGTATTTTGCCCACCCCTGATGTACAGCCACGTGACTTAACTAGCTGATTGCCCTACTTTTTAGGAAGAATGAGGAGGTCTCCTCTCTTGTCTCCTTCAGCTTGTGCTTCCTGGAGGTTCAGTCTCCTTCACTAGAAGTTTTTAAGAGTGGATTAGGTCAATGTGTCAATATGTGTCAAATGGTGTACATCCACTTATTACTGGGTGGTATCTGCCAGATTAGATGACTCTTAGTGGTCCTCTGCAGCCCTACGATTCGTTGCCCTCTATAATGGAGAGTGAATCCATTCAGTTTCTGGGCTCATTGTCCGTTTTCTACCACACTCTTGGTTGACTCATAGCCTTAGCAAAACTTTCCCCCTGTTATGTATATGGGGCAGTGGAGTCCCACTCTTCACTAGCCAGAAGTAAGAGTTTCAGTGAGCCTGCTGTCATAACCCTGGAGGATTTGGCCTGAAGGCAGTTGGATCCCTGTGTCCATTGTTTAGAAGTCTCATGAAATCTTGAAAGAGAGCCTTGATATATGGAACAAGGAAGAAAAATTTCCTGGAACGGAAGAACAGTGGATTATAATATCTTTCTTTTACTAAAATGAAGTGAAAATACAAAATATGTGAGGAATGTACTACACTGGTACCCAATATGCAGTGTGTAACATGTCTATATTAAAAAAAAATTATATGGCTCATTTGATGTTTTAAGGGCTAACTTTAATCTGTAATAATTTGAGAAAAATACTATTTACAGGATGAGCTTACGGCAGTGAATGTAAAACAGGGCTTCAATAATCAACCGGCTTTCTCTGGAGATGAGCATGGATCTGCTAGAAATATTGTCATTAATGCCTCAAAGGTAAGGCTAGGTCTGTTAGTCTCATTTAAAAGCTATGTGTGTGTCAGTGTTTGCTACTTAATTTGTGTTTTCAGGTGGCAGTATATTGCCTAAAATTTACAAGTTGGCATTGGGTTTTTTTTTGTTGTGATGACTCTCTTGTATATGTTGGCAGTCTTGGCATTCCAGTTAATTATAAAACTAATGTGAAACTGCTAGGAATCAAATGCTGTTTTTTTTCTGTGGGTTATTATGCTGGTCTTCAGATGCTAGGAAAAATGGGTACTAAAAACATGACAACATACCAGGTAGCACATCAACTTGTAACATTTAAATCTGGAAAAGATCATTATTATTTTTTTAAGTCTCTTTTCTTACTTTCCCAGTCTCTAACAGCAATAAGGGCCTTTTCTGACAGGCAATCATGGATGGCATTTAAAACCCCCACAGTAAGTTGGGACTTTAAGTATTCTAGCCGGTTACTTGCTGCCAAGGAATGCTTCACCATCAGTTTTTGCTGGGTGTTGGACATTGTTATCCGTTCTGTTTTAATGGTCTGTTTTTGAAAAAATGTGTTTCTGAGCTGTGTTTTCTGAAGCTTCAGTTAACTTGCCTGTAAAAACTGGAAAAGATTGAGGGGGCTCTGAAACTCAATAAAATATTAGATAGAAGGCAGGGTAAGGTGGCTGCTGGTTCAGCTTGCTATATAAAAGTGCCACCCTCTCCTGCCTTCTGCCTGACTTCAGTCTATCTCTCCCTAGTACAATTATTAGTAAGTCATCTTCTAGGTGGTTACAGCTGATCAAACTTTTTTGGGGGAGAACTTTAAAAATAAATTCTCTTTTTATTAACCCTTTCTTCCTGTCCCTTCTACTTCCTGTTATTTTATTTGACTAAAGGGGAGGGGGAGTAGTGGAAGGAAAAGAAAAAGTGCTGGTTTTATTTTGCATGGGTATTATTATTTCATGTACATTGGACATGCAAAATATTTGGTTTAGAAATTTTATTTTACATTTTAAAATGTTGTGTAAAAACAGTTAAAAGTGGTACTACGTGTTACTCTTTTTTTTGTTCAGGGTTCATGCAGCCTTTATTTTTTGAATGTGTAACTCTCAGAATAAATTGGTAAATATAGTAAATATAATTGAGATGTATATAATGAAAAGGCATTCTTTTACTGACAAAATATTAAGGTGTTGCTATATTTTTGTGATTGTCCTCTAAGGCTGCCACCTGTAGACACTTCCTTTGTCTGTTTTGCTTTGAATTTTGTTATACAATGGAAATATCTTAACTGTTTGAAAATGCAACGTTTTTTTAAAAATTGGGGAAGAGCTTAATATTACAGATAGTTCTTTTTATTCTATAAGACTTAAATTTGTTCAATAACTATTAAAGATTTTCTTTCAGAATGAAAACTTTAACCAGGTGGAAATTGTCTCCATGAAGACTTAAAAAATTTCAGGGTTGTTTTCTTAAGTGTCTGTCAATATAAATAGGTTGCATGTGGTGATCTATTTTGTTTTTTGGAAAAATTAATTTGGATAGTTGTTTTCTTCTTTTTCTCCTTTATTGTGTGTTTATTTTTCCTCTTATCCCATCTAAAAGCCATGAAGCGGCATTTCCTATAGCATTTTTTTACTTATCCAGTATTTCTTGATCTTTTCTATCTCATGAGACAGTCCAGTCTTTCAAGACTTAAGAGTTTTGCATAGCTCTTTGTACATTTATTTGCTCATCCAAACTTTGCTAGGGTTTGCTTATCATGACTGATGAATGAAAGTAACTGAATGCTGTCCTTGACATGACAATTGGCTTTTAAATAGAACTTATACCTCCACACAGTCTGGTACCTTGAATGTCCCCAAAGATTTAAGCACTCCCTTAACTTTAATCAGGGTCTGGTGCTGCCCATGCATCTTGGATTGGACCTGCACACTGCATACTGTGCACTCTGGGCCAGCCCACATGCAGCGCACTAGCTCTGTCCCTGCGTGTTTCCTTGCATGTGGCCTGCAGGACCAGCCTGTGGACCTGATCCAGTGTGTGGATTGGCACTGTCCCAGTGCCTGCTGGGCCTTATAAGTTTGATCCCCTGACTTGAGGCACAGAAGTAGTCGCACTGAAACGGGACTTTTCAGTTAGGTTCTTTTGCCAAAGTGGAACGTACCAGGTAACCTTGAGAATCCTTCTGTTCACTGCTTTACGCTATTGACCTATGGCTTTTATTGCTGAGAGAGAATGCAATAATGTTGCACTGGTGAGTAGCATCAGCAGACTCTCTAACTGACAGGTCCAGGGAATTCCAGTGTAATTTTATTAATAGGTAGCTTAGATCAGAGTGGTGACTAAATCTATTCAAATGAGAATCTTGTGTGTTTCAGTGTATAATAGACATTTGCTTACATGTTGTCGTTTTTTCCCCCCCCACCAGATTGGCGCTTATTTTAGCAGCATATTAGCAGAAAAGCTAAAACTTAATACTTTCCAGGATACGGGAAAGAAGAAACCACAAGTAAATGCCAAAGACAATTATTGGCTGGTTACTGCTCGCTCTCAGAGTGCAATTCATAACTGGTTCACAGATTTAGCAGGAAATAAACCACTGCCCATTTTAGCAAAAAAGGTACAAACAATCTTAATTATTGCTTTTGGTTTTTTTTGGTTTTTTTGGGGTGGGTGGGAGGGGGAGCTGACTTTGCAGCTGGGCATAAGAGAAGGGCCATATTTATATATACCAATTTAACTAGATAAATATGTTTCCAAACTTCTTATTGTTAACAAGCAACTATCATGTTTTACGTGAAACTGAGTGAGCTTTGTAAAAATAAATGCATAAGGTAGTAATGTGTGGTATGGATGCAGATGAATCTGGGGGACACGACAGTCATTTGTAGATGCACAAAAAGTTTTCTGTATTTAAGTGTATGATAATGGGAAGATTGGATGTACCTTGGTGAGTAATCTGGGAATACAGACATTGGCAAGCTTCAACAAGAGTATTGTGTTACATTTTTAAATGTCTGCTATCCTTGTCTTTGCATCTTGCCATCCTTAATGAGACAAGAGCGTAAAATTCTCAAACTTAGCCTAAACTCTATAGAGGGTCTTTAAATGCCCTTATTAACGAAGACCAAAGTTAAGCTTGGATAACCAAATTCTTTATCTATACTTTACTTTTCTCTCAAAGCAATGTTTTTACTTCAAAAAAAATTGTCCTTCTTGTATCAAAAGAAACTGTTTACTTTAACTGTCACTTTTGCATGGTCTCCACATTGACACCAATATGTCCTTACTATCTTTTGTAAATTCTTTTCCTTTAGGTGTTGTTATTACTCTTGCTCAGGTTTGTTAGCAGCAGGCTTCCAACGAGCTTAAGGACAGGGAAGAATTCTTGCCTTTTTTCAGGAATCTTGCAAACAGCATAAAGTATCTTAAAGGAAGTATAAAGCTATAGAAAAATCTATCAAAACTAATCAATTAAGAATACCAAGACAATTGAGAGAAACTTGGGTGGCTATGCAAGTCTTACCCCTGAGGGAAAGACTGGAACAAAATGACTGACTAAATTGGTGTCATTCACATCTAACTTCAGTGCAGATCTGTGTGGAATAAGCTATATTGAAATAAGGGTCTCTTACTCTGCAGTAAAAGTGTGCACACACATTGGATTGAATCAATAAGGTGCATGTTATAATAATTCAATTTTGGTTTCTGTATAGATAGTCCAAGATTTTTTTTCTCAGCTGAGGAAAATTTTACAATAATTTTTCATGAGGGGAGCTATTTAGTATCCTTCATTTGTACATAAGATCTTTGCTGAATATTATCAACAAATAAGGATCATTTCTGTCCTTAAAAAGGAAAAAAAAAAGCTAGCTTCAAAAGTGGAGATATTTAAAAGATTGTGTAGATCACATACTTGCTTTGTAGAAAATGGCAGACTTTTATTGATCTGAATATCTGGGATTTTTGACATGCTAATAACACACACGGTAACAGTGTGATGAGTACAGTACCACAGCATGGAAAAATCCCAGTTGCTGAGCACTGCTAATACTATTATAAGACTTCTAGACTAAAGAAAAGAAGCAGCTATTGTCATACCAATGACAGCAAACTGAACAGTCATGGGTACTCCCTTTGGTATGCACTATTTGGGGGGGCAGAGTTTTTAATCCATGTTTTCCTCTCTGACATTGCTTCAAGAAGGCATGACAAAATTACTCTACATGTAGGAAAACATTTTAGTTGACCTTCTGGATTAACTTAATGCAGTTGTGCTTAACATTTTTGCCCAATGGGCCGGAAGTGCAGTGCCCAGTCTGTCTGTGGGTCACATCTGGCCAGTGGTCCTGATCTTGTGCCCAGGGCCAGATATGGCTTGCAGGCTGGAAGAAGTGGCTCTGGGCTAGGTCTGCTGGCCATGCGTGTGACATTCTGAGCTAGAGGGTACAGAAGTAGGTTCCATCTCCATTAAGAGGCTGGGCAAAGAACTGCTGGTGGAAAAGGGTTTTCGGAAATCTCTGGGCTGAGGGAAGATGGTACTCTGCCTGTTCCCGTTGCCCCTGCTCCTCTTCCATATTTCCAGAGGCTAGGGGACCTACAATCAGTAGTGAGGTGTGGCGTTAATCACTTGATGTCAGTTTTAACACTCTCTTGGAGTTTGGACCGTATATGGAGGCATAGGTAATGGTTCAGTTGCTCTTCAGGTCAGTGAGTAAGCCCAGCATTGTACATACAGCATTCTAAAGTGTAAGTCTAGAATTAAATAGAGGTCTGCATTCAGTCTGTTTCCTTACCTATGTTGGATTGCACTTTGTAATTTTATTGTCTGTTTTTCATTCCAGGTTCCTATCCTCAGTAAAAAGGAAGATGTCTTTGCTTATTTAGCAAAATATTCTGTGCCACTGCTGCGAGCAGCATGGCTGGTCAAGATGACATGTGCCTACTATGCTGCTATATCTGAAGCTAAACTTAAGAAGCGTCAAGCTACTGATCCAAATATTGGTAAATAAAAATTCTAATATTTAAATGCATGGTAATGATTGAAAGAATTTGGTACTCTTGTTCAGTGCTTTGGTGCTGGTAGGGGAATGTAACAAGGACTATGTTTTTGATAAATAGATTTCTTTCTGTTTTTCTCCATTTGGGTTTTTATTGATTCTTTCCTGTCTGAAAACATGTCAAATAATACAGACAACTGTTCAGTATTTCCTTGTTCACATACCTTTCTAATAGATCTGACCCCAATTCTTGAATCACTTTAATTAAAAGGCTGAATATATTGTGTCTTCATCACTTGAGTGTGACATTCATCTTAGTATGAAGGGCTCACAGAAGGCCTCTGGTCATTTGAGTTCCATTTATTATGGCCAAAAGCATGATGGAATAAATGTTGCCCTAGAAGAACTGAATTGAATCCAATACTTTGAGAAACCTTAAATAAATGTGATCTTTTATGCATAATTATTTAAAATGATATGAAGGGGCACTTTCAGTTTCACTATTGTAGGTTAGGTGTTACTTGCTGACCTAACTAAATGGGCGAACTCCTTCACCTATCCTTTGTATGAATATAAAAATTTAGTGTACATCCTACCAAGGGTTTATGAGAATGATGTGATTTCCGAGCAGGAAAAATGGAGAATCTCTTAGTGTCTGGTAAAAGGTATTCATTTTAAAATGTATTTGTAGGCTGCTCAAGAATAGAGAGATCAAACTGAATGTAAGTGCAGAGCAGTTGGTTCCTGGGTCCAAATGTTACACTTATATCTTTTTTTGTCAGAATAGTCTGTGTAGATTGAGTTGTCTGGGGTAGGTAATGTTGCCACCTCTTGTGGTCAGTTCCTCACAGAATGGTGCCTCGGACTTAGGATTTCTAGACACCAATATAGTATAATTGAAACAAATCTTGTCCAGAAAGAAAATAGCCAGGTTTCAGATGCTGTAAACCTAGTCAAGCTCTTTCCCACTATTCAGTATCCATTTTCTCTGACCTGAGCCCATGTTCCTACTGCAAAACTCATCTTTATTTAGTTATGTTCCCCACCTAAATTTTACTTCCGTGGTTTCCTCCTTTCAGTCTTACTTTTTTTCTGGGTTTGTTCTTGGTTATAAGGTTCTTAGCTACCACCATAAGCTGAGACAGCTGAGAATCAAAGACTTCACTAGTTCTTAGGCACAGCCCAGACAGATAAGACGGTCCTCCCAGAGAGCTTACTGTTTACTTGTGAGAGAGAACATAATAGGTGGGCATCCTCCTATTCATTTTTATGTGAGTAGGATTTAGCAGATAAGAGACTCTGATGGCTAACAAATCAAGTTTATAACTTCATTAAATTCCAGCGATGACTCTCATTTAATATTTGAAGCTTAGTGCTACAAGGAATTTGGTTAATTTTGTGACGCAACTCAACTGCATCTCCCTTTACTGCTGAGACCTGCTGGTAAACCCTTTCCCCCCCACCCATTTCCAATGATTCCTGTTTCTTCAACAGTTCATCCAGAATCCCTCTGCCTCCTGTCTTGGCCTGGTGCATATGATTAGTGTGGCCCCTCCTTGATGTGAAGCCAGACCAGGTTGTCCTCCACCTCATCTGCATATGAATTTTTGGAGCATCCTAGGATTTGTGACAAGAACACCCCGTTTTAGCCATGAGTGGGGGCTAATTAGTACATGGATCCTTTGAGGGTGGGGGGGGTATCTGGAGTACACACACATACTGAGTAGTGCTGAAGTGTGAGCTCACCATGGCTTGAAATGCTGTTGACTCTGCTGGAGCCTGGCCCAATGAACTCTGTGGTAAATCATGAACCTTTGGCTTTGGATTAATATAGTTTGTATTCTTGGCCTATTGTGGGCTCAAATCAGGCATAGCCTATGCTTACCTAGGGGAAATACTGTGATCACCACAGTGGATTCCTAGTTGCACCTGGGGAAGACTGCTCTGTTGTCATGGGATAGTACCTATATAGGTAATGCATAGTAAACCTTGGCTTTATGCCCCTTTATGGAAATGAGAGACTTCTCTCTAGCTTGCTCCTGGGTCCTTATGGCTAAGGACAAGCAAAACGTGGGGCCATCTAAACCCCAAGCCTCCAGGCTTGGGCCTGCAAGTAGGATGCCCACCAAAGGATTTTGGAACATCTGAAGCCCCAGGTGGGGATGGAGGATGTTTGCCGCTGGTAGGGCCACTTTTGGTTCTGGACTAACCGATTTGGAATTGATTTTGCCAATTTGGCTTGGAATACAAAACCTTGGAAAAAAAAGCTTGTATTATGTATAAGTAGGTGCTAAAGTGCTGCTCAAAAGTGTTTTTATGGAGTGTCTGTGCTAAAACTTTCAGTATTTTAAAAAACATGCATCAATTCTGGATGAATTAAGTGTATAGATACCATATGAAAATTGCTACAGCCATGCTCAGTTTCAAGGCTATTGTTTTCAAATTTGGTACTCTCTGTCATGTGCTCAGGGGGAGAGCAGGGTCTGACAGGTGAGGGGAAAGAGGCTGCCATGGGAAAGCAGAGAGCAAAGGGGTAGATTTATTTTCCCTGCTGTAGCAGTGGGAGGGGGAAACATTCAAGGCAGACCTCCAATGACTAGATTCTATACGTGGAAAATTTATAAAAAAAGTATACATTTTTCATACATAGAATCTAATTTTTGGAGGGCTGTCTTATAATTTAAAGCCATCTTCTTTTGGCGTAAATACATTACATTAGATTGGTACCTCTGGATTGTGCCTTTTCTCATATTGCTGGACTAAAATTATTTAGTTGCTTTGGAATTTAGTGTTTTAGACAAAAAGTAAAAGAAAGCCCTTTGGTTTTTGCTACTTTACAAGGTCACTTCCTGACTCTGCTGTGAGCAGCTGCTGGGTTTCAGCTGTTTTACCTTGTTGGTATTTCATGTAAACTATTTCTTCAAGTTTTTATTTGTGGGTTTGCAGCCTTGGAGCTGTTGCTTTGAGTTACAAATTTAAGCCAGCCAGGCAGGTTTTGGAACTTTCAAAAAAAAAAGCTGTCCAGCTCTACTTCTCAACCATGAGTACAGAGAAACCAAACTTGAGTCATCAGCAAAACAGTTTTTCAAAAGACATTGAGCTGGTGTAAAATGGAACCCAAGCAATCTGGTGATACTACAATGAAGGAAGTAGGGTAATGCTGCATGTGCTGTCTTATTTACCAGTCTGCCTATGCTGGTTGTCATATGAGAAGAAAAGCAAAGAGGTGCAGGTGTATTAAGCATCATTAGTTAATTTTACACAATCCATTCTTCTGCTTTATAAAATTAATGTTACGTTAATCTATACCGAACGAATATTAGAGCTCCAAAATGCCACATTTTGCACTCAGAATTTAGGAAATGCCACATCTAAAGCTGCCCAGGTAAACTGAATTAATCTTAAATTGCATGCATGCATGCATTCTGGTACATTTTATGGTATGGTCATTAATTGTATGGTGACAAATATTTTTTCCACAGAATCCCTCCCTTGTTTAACACGTGGGCTACTGATCTAAGCACTCGCAATTATGTATAATTTACCTTGTGCTACAACAACTTCTTTGTATCAAGAAACAAATATTTGTGGTGTCTAGATTTAGCTTTTAAAAAAGGATTCTTAACTACCTGTTTGCTAACTCAGTGCAGGGTGTCAAGGGCCTGCAGCAAGATGGTAGCCCTAGACTTTAGGAGGGCCAATTTCAACAAGTTGAGGAGACTAGTGGGTGAGGCGCTGGGATCCTTGAGGGCAGGGGAACTTGGTGTCCAGGATGAGTGGCTGTTCCTTAAGGAAGCGATACTCAGGGCCCAACGGGAATCCGTCCCAACAAGAAGCAAGGGGGGGGCAAGAGTGCCCGAAAGCCCCCCTGGCTCACCAAGGGCGTCTGGGAATGCCTGCTTACCAGAAAGACAGCGTACACCCAGTGGAAGGGGGGTGCTATCTCCAAAGAGGAGTATACCTCCTCTGCTCGGGCTTGTAGGGGGGCT